TGACACAGTGGCTGTAATAGGCTCAAACGTACGAACCGTGAAGATGGCGCAGAACTGGGAGGCATCCCGTTCTCTTGTACACAGGACGGCTATGAGTCTGAACCAACTTGATGGCTCCTAACAACCTAACAGGCGGCTTTGTTGTTATTTGCTTTACTTTGCACACTTCTGTATCTGGGTTAATATTTAGGTGAGGTTGTCATATATGTTAACCTCATATTGCCATCTGTCGTTGATGGTTCCACAGATGAAGAAGTCCCTTTAGTGCAATGGTTCTCAACCTTCCTAATACCGCGACCCTTCAATACAGTTCCTCATGTGGTGGTGACCCCCCAACCATACAACTGTTTTTGTTGCTCCTTCATAACTGTAATTTTGCTACTGTTATGAATCGGGTGACCTCTGTGAAAGGGTCATTCGACCCCCAAAGGGGTTGGGACCCACATGTTGAGAACCACTGCTTTAGGGTTTCTTACTGGCTGGTCTCATTTTCACTCATTTCTTTAATTTCTATGTATCTAAATTTTGCTGTCATATTTAAGAGACAGTTTTTCTGGGTATATGATTGTTGTTTGCTATGTTTTCTTTCATCATTTTATGTATACCACCCCGAAATGAGATAGAAAAGCCCAAGAACAAGTAGAAATGGTTCACAAATGCTGCCTGTTACATCACATGGGAGAAAGGTGCCCTTCTGTGGTTTGTAACAATCCTATATTGCTCAGGAAAGATAAAGGGAATTTAGAAAATGAAGTTACACAAAAAATTGTCATTCTAGAAAATAAATACAGTTGAAGGAGTAAAGCTGGAGTTAAACTATAGGCTGTATTAACTCTCAATTAACTTTGTAATGTAGAAAGTTTATATGGGGATAGTGAGCCAATATTAACAGTTCACCACCATGTAAGTAGGCTCTGTGATTACTTAGGAAAAGATGGATTTTATAACGCTCTGGATACAACCTATAGAACAAGATGAGTATATTCTATAAAAAAAATATTACCATGTATGAAACCAATAGTTAGCGCAAGGCAGGGTAGCTCCTGATTGGAAACATGGTCAAAGGTAAATTTAAATTTATTTTGTCATAATTTTTGATAAAGGTATCTTGGTGGTGCTATCAGCTAAATGTTGGACAGCTACCCACCAAGTTCTCAGTTCAAACCCACTAGATGCTCCTTGGGAGAAAGATGAGGCTATCTAAGTCTATCTGCTACTTTACAGATTTATAGCCTCAGGTCCCCTGTACAGGGGCATAAGTCAGAATGGACTTGATGACAGCGAGTTTTACGTAGTTGGTTTGTTTTGATTTTTAAAGGAATGCATTGATAGTTAAAAACTGGTTAAGAAAGAAAAACCCCACATCCCACAAAAGGTGAAATTCAAACAAAAGGCGGACAAACAACAGATTAGGAAAAAAATCTATATATTAATAGAATATATTTTTCACTTTGCTAATTGATGTCATTTCTGAATCAACAGGTTATACAATATAACAATCATAAATCGTTCCTTGCTATATTTGACAATTGGAACTATACTGATGTAAACAAAGAAACTTGTTGGAAAAAAAGTTTTATAGGAATTATAAGTTTGTTAGAGGCACTGGTAGCATAAAAGTTACATATTTCAATGTTTTGAAAATAAACACCAAAAAGACAATGCTGTGGTTGTTGTTAGATGCCATTGTGTTCGTTTCAATAGCAACGCAACATACAGGAGAATGACCATCCAATTCTGCACCATCTGCACAACTGTTCGTGCATTTGAGCCCATTGTTGTAGCCACTGTGTCAATCCATCTTGAGGGCCTTCCTCATTTTTTGCTGCGCCTCCACTGTACCAAACATGACCTTCTCTAGGGACTGGTCTCTCCTGACAATATGTCCCAAATACCTGAATGCAGTCTAGCCATCCTTGCCTCTAAGGAGCATTCTAACTGCACTTTCTCCAAAACAGACCTGTTTTTTTTTTTCTTTTGGCAGTCCATGGTACTTCCAATATTCTTCGCCAGCACCATAACTGAAGACAGATCTATTGTCATCAAGATGATTCGGACCCATAGCAACATTATAGGTCAGACTAGAACTACCCTATTGGGTTTTTAAAAGCTGACATCTTTACAAATTCTCAGGTCTTTTTTTCTGTGAAGCAGCCGGCAGTTCAAACCATCAATTTTTGTTTAGCTCTCAATCACTGTAACAATGGTGCCACCAGCATTCCTTTTAGATAGATAGATAGATAGATAGATAGATAGATAGATAGATAGATGGATGGATATTATATATATATATATATATATATATATATAAAGTCTTAATACATTTACCAGTAAAACAAACTCGCTAGCCCTTCTGTAATCTGAAACACAGAGGTGTTCGAAGTGAACAGTACCACCCACTCCGAATAATTGTCAGGCTTGCCCACTTCTCTTTCATTATGTGTTTGTGTGTGTTTGAATTAGGTGGAGGGTTTATACTCCTGGCCATCAGCTTCCTGTTCCAGTTTAAGTTACTTGTCAAACCCCACCCCTCAGGGGGACCCCCACCCTCCCCCCTATGATTTTTCTTCTCAAGTGAATTATATAACGCAATGCCTGTCTGCCCTCTAGTCTACTGCCTTACCTTCCTCTCTTGGTAACCTCTGAAGCCTGTTCCCTATGGACTGAAAGTTTGCCTTGGGGTTTTGTTTGTTTCCTCATACCTTAACCACGTTTTACCTTTCCAGTAACTTCAATAAACAAAACGCAACCCATTCTTCGGACTCCCAACAGTACTCTAAGAAGGTATTTCATATGTCATCTTCCCCTAAAATAACTTACATTCTCTAAAACATAGCATTGTTTGTATTTTGTACATGAAAAATTCTTTGCTCCCTTTGAAAAAAGATAAAACCAGAAACTTGAGCGAGTGACAGAAATGCCACGTGGCACTAATTTTCTCTGCATGCTCAGTTCATCTCTCCAGTATACTGAGTATGGCAGTGAAAAAGAACTTTTTTATTTCAGGCCCAAAGTGTATTTATTGCTGAATTTCAATACCCTTAGATAGTACATACTCAATAAAAAACTGCCGAACGAATGAAAGTGGAAGCGAACTCTACCAATGAATGCCGTACTTGGAGAAGTTGTTACTAAGTCTAAATAAGGCACCTAGAGTGCGTCCCTGAGGCTGATATCATCAATACCCACCTGCAAAAAGTGCTCTTTTGTAGTTCTCATTTTCATACTTTCATTACTATTTTATAAAATGCATTCCTTGAATATTTTTGCGTGCTTAGTGCAGAGCCATAAGCCTTGAGTAACCCCATGGGACCAAGATGAAATGCCCATGGTGATGCTGAAAATACTCCCATGAGAAAAGTCATGACATTACAGGGAAAAGCTGAATTGCATGACACAGAGCATGGATCGAGGTCTGCAGCGTTGTTGGCTTGCCCCTTCAAGACAGATTAATGCAGCATAAAAAGCATTGCACCAGAAAGGAAATTCATGGGGCTGGGCCGTGGGGACCGTTCCGGGGAGTGGGAGTTGCTGTGGGATTGAGCCTCCACTGCTGCTCTGAGCCAAAGCCCTGCCAAAGCCCCTGGGAGGGGTAATGTAGGTCTGGACGGGGGCCTTGGGGAGCAGCAGGCACAGGCCAAATCAGGATGAGAGCAACTTGGATCCCAACTATAAGCACTTTTTTCCTGGCCTTTCCCAGGGGCAGGGTGCCCTGTGAGAGTGTGGGAAACAGGAAGATTTCTCCCAAGTTGTCTCCCCCAAATATATGCCAAACCCAAGACGCTGCTTGTTACACATGGTAATGACTGCACAGTAGGTCATTGAAAGTAAGAGGTTATTCTCTTTAAAGGTATCAGTCTTCTAGAGCAACCAGACTGTATAATCTGACGTATTCTACGTAAGGCCCACTCCCTTCTGATATTGTTCCCTTTAAGGAGCGCCTGAAGGCAAGCCTGGGACCACTCAAGGATGACTAAGCTTAGGCTACTGTATTGAGTCTAAGGTCCGCCCATCTTGCCACATATGTACCCCTATTTCCTCCCTTTACTATTGCGTGTGCATCCCTAGGTCATCCCCCTCCTATTGCTTGTATTGCCTATGTTACAACCACTTCCTATGACGTAGATTGTTACCTGTGATCAGAGGGCTTGCATGCCCCCAACGATATATAAGCTTTGGTTAGAAATAAAACCTCACAGGAGCTCTCTCCTGCCCTCTTGTCTCCCACCTCCACACGTACCAGCAAGAGGAGCTGAGGTGAGCATGCTACCAGGAAATGTGTCTGGCTCCATTATTTCAATCTCGCTTCTATCTCTCCCATTTCTCCATGACTTTTCTATAAGCTTTATATATCTTAACTGTACAATTGCACCTACCGATCCCGTGATTAGTTGTGGGGGGCTGGCTACCCCCATATGGGGGGAGATGGGTGTTCCAGGAGCACCCCAGGCACTCCCACCCTGACATTCAGGAGAAGTCTGTGTCCTGACTGGGCTCAGTGGCGCAGGGTGTTAACTAAGCACAAATGTGCAGCTTGTTGAGAACTAGAAAAAAGAGAAAATTTGAGAAATGGTTGCTGTGCCTACACAAGCAGGCATGAAAACCTGTGAAATAGCTTTTAAGTTATATTGGGTCCAGTACATAATATATACAACATGCAAAATATGCCAATCAACTGATTATATATATTATCTGTGAGGCTCTTGGTCAACAGTACAGCATTAGTAGTTAGATTTCCAGGGGATTGGGTGGAGGCGGAACTTCAAAAGTTAAATGCAGATTTTCAACTGTGTAAGGGGCTCGCCCTTGCATTGTCCCTTAGAAAGCTTTTTAAGAAGCCTACAAAGAGTCCTCTCAGAAAACTAATGACACTAAATGGGATTAAATCTATCCTATGAATAAAACGATCATGCCACAATGCCAAAGTCTTTAGATGAGGACATTTTATTTACAAAAATTCATAAGAATTAAAAAGCTATAAGCATAATTTTGCTGGTAATACTTAGCAAAATCATGGGTAGCTAAATATAAAAAATATCACTCAGTACATAGTACACATTAAAACATACCTTATGCTAGCTTTATCCATTAGCTTTTAAATCAAATTTTTAACAAACTTACAAATAGACAACAAGTGATTATTATTCTGCTTTCCATGCCAAATAGAAGGTTCCAACCTTTTAAATGATCGGCAAATTAAATGGCCTGTCCATTAGATTTCCTACATAATTAAATGCCAAACAAAATTCAAAATGCATAAAAGAAACTCATCAATTTATAGCAAGTAAATATAAGTTAAAAGAATGCTCCCAAAGAATAACATGTGAAATAAGGTGCATTAAATTTTTCATAGAGGTCAGGGATGGACTAATTTTTATCTGCATTTTAACCCACAGTTTAAAACATGAAAGCACTGTGAAAAGCTCATTTTGAAGTATACACCACGACAGCAGGTTAAAGAGATGGATGTGTGCTTGGACTTGCAAACAATGTTCTTTCTCCAAATTGTCCTTGGTGTTTCCATGACCCACCAAGGACCAGATTCCTAGGGTGGCCTCCTGTCACTGATGGAAGGCCTCTAAGCGTATTCGCGTTGGATCTTCTGGATGGCGCAGGGCAATTCCATTACGCAGCAGCAGCTCAATGTACGGTGGCCAAAAGGAGTCACTGATGTTGACATACGGATCGTGTGGAACATCAAATAATCTATTGATAAGAATCTAGGGGGAAAAAATTCAAAATCTTGTACTTGGGAAAATGTTGACACTGTCATACATAAAGATTAATAAAGTCTTTCACCACCAAGAAAAAAGGGTTAATATCATTTCTCTTTGGGCAGATACAAAAAATGGTTTCTCATTCTAAGTTTTATATGGTAATATATACTATTCAAAAATAGGTATTTCAGTTACCATCTGTCAATATTTACCACATACATGACAGGTTTTAGTTTTAATAAAGTTGTCAACCTTGAAAAATAGTAGTCTTATTAGAGCAAATAAAAGGTCCTAATTACAAATGTCTGCATTTTGCTTGTCAAAATAATAATATTTTATAGTTAAGAGATTCTGAGGTACCAAAATGAGTTTGTTGAACAAAAAGAGATCTTTGTACCCATTTTATAAAATTGAGGTAAAACTTATTTTCTTAAATCGCTCTTCTAACCTTAACAGTGGTTTTTGTAAAGGCGCACTAATTGCTAAAGTCCCCCACTTTTCCCAAACGACCCTATCTCCCACTCTGCCCAGTCATCTTGGACGGCCATGGCAAGCGCTTCTGAAGCTCTTCATAATTTCCTAAAGCTCAAAAATGGTTTCTAAAAGCTATGGCGATATGTAAAAGAAAGTAAATGCAAAAAAAAAAAAGAAAGAAAGCAAAGGCAAAGCGGATAAAGCTAAAATTACTCAGAACTTACAGCTTGAAAAAATGTCCTAATGCTATTTAAAGAAAATCTGTGTACAAATTCTTGAAACTTTGTGAGGAATCTTGAAGCTCACTTATGTATTTTAAATAAAACATACATGCCAACTAAACATTCCCAGTAACAGTATAGGATTTACCATATAATATTAAATAACCTCTAAACAATAGTTTTAAAACAGTTTACCTATAAAAAAAATCTTAGGAATACAAATAAGAATTATATTTCAAGAAAGAAAAGATTTATATTTTATTCTCACACTTTTTAAAAAAGTGATAATACTCTTTTCAGTAATAGGCAGAGCTTAATCCTGTCCTAATGATAAATTACTATAAAAACATTTATTAAAAAATTGACATGTACCTTCAGGTCTAGATACAGATCTTTTCTTTTCCCAGTTTGTGTGCAGAGCCCTGACAGGTGGTACAACTGGTTGGTGTGTCCAAAACCGAGTACTGTCATCAATGGTGACTCAAAATAAATCAGTAGGACAGAGTCCCACAGGGTTCCAAGGCTGGAGTCTTTACAGAAGTAGATGTCATCTTGCTCCGTAGAATGAATGGCTAAGGGCTTCAAACCACTGACCTTTCCAATTAGCAGCCAAGTGCTGAACCACTGAGCCATCAGAGGTTCAGTTACTAACTAAAAGAATAGCACTTCAATTCTACAAAGAGGTGACTAGGAAGAAAGGACTGGCAATCTGTTTCCAAAATCAGCCATTGAAAACCCGTTTTACTGACACACATGGCCACCATGTGTCAGATTCAACTCCCCAGCAACAAATCACTAGTCTAATTGTTCACAAATCACTAATTAAGACACATTTTAGAGAAAGAAGAAGAAACTACACAAAAGACTTACCTCTAATATATCATGGAGGGTTATCAACTGTGAGGTTGGTTCTTGAATGCTTTTCTTTGAAAGAAATGTAAATACAAAGGATTAATAATACAAGTACGTCAATTCTGCCAATGGCATAACACTAAACTATTTGCCACAAGACTTAAAAAATTACTATTTCTTTTTAAAAAAAAATTTTATTGGGAGCTCCTACAGATAGCATAACATTCCACCGATCAGTCACACCATACACACAACTGTAAGCACAATCAGTTTCAAAATTTTCTTTCTTCTTGAACTGCTAGATATCGGCTCCCCTTTGTCACCTCCCTCCGCTACCATACCTCCTAGGAACCCTTTTATTTTCTATAAAAGTTTGTGGGTGGTGGTGGCCATATCTTACACAATCCTATCTATTCATTCATATAAAACTCGTTGTTGGATCCCATCAAGAGGGGTTATAGAATCATTAAGGCTATGAGCTCCCCATTTCACCCCGACCTCTTCCCATACACTGGAGTACCCTGTTACTGTGTCTGGAGGGTTATCTATCTTGTCTATCATGTACTGAATGATCTTAAATATACAAATGAATATACACAAATCTCATGTTTAATGAGCTAAAACAAATAAAAGGCATAATAGTATGGGGAGGAAATATTAGAGAACTATAGGATAATTAGATAATTCATCAGTGCCATACTGCACACTGGATTTGTCATCCCCTCCATGTGGCCCTTCTGTGAGGGACTATCCAATTATCTTACAAGTAAGTGGGTTTTGGGTCTCCCCTACATCCACACCTCTTCACATCAATTTGATTGCTTGTTTTTGAACTTCTAATACCTATTACCATTCAACACCTCATGATCATACAGTCTGGTGTGCTTCTTCCATGTGGGCTTTGTTGTTTCCCTGCTAGATGGCTGCTTGTTTAACTACAAGCCTTTAAGACCCCAGATGCTATATCTTTTAATAGTCGGGCACCATTAGCTTTCTTCACTACATCATTCAATATTTTGCCCATAAAAACTTTCAATATTGCAACTCGACGCTTGAAATTTTTCTTTAATTATTTCAGTTGAAGCTAGTGTGTTCTTCCTTTCTGGTTTTCTAACTCTAGGCCTTTGTACACTTCTCTCTCTCTCTTTTTTTTAATCATTTTATTGGGGGCTCTTACAACATTCCATACATCAATTTATACATTTCACTATCTTACTTTGTCTTCTTGAACTGTCCTTTGAGATAGAAAAACTGTCTTTCAAAAATCTAGCTTAGTTCATGAAATAGCTAGCTTCAATTCACAGAAATCTTGAGTCTCTATGACTAAAACGTATGAGTTATAAAAAATATAATACATTTTATTTTATAAATTTATGAGTACATTTCCCATGTTTCTATAGTTCTTGCATCTCATACATATATTAATTAAAGTGGGGGGAAAGAGTGCAGAGGAAAAGAGAGGCAAATTAATTTGCAAAGTTAATTCATTAGTGATAAATAACGCCTATGGTCAAATTTCTCAACAATATAAAACATATCACAATATCCTAATTTGTGATATTTGTTCTGCCTTGCGCTAAAAGCAGAAAGGCAAGAATAATTTTTTAATTTACTTATACAATATATTGTTTATTTTAGATAATTAAATTGCTTGTTCACAATCTTCTGCCATCCAAGGAAATGATTATTTGCAATCTAAAACAGGTTAGTTTTACCATAATTACTATTTGAACAGTTTCTTACTTCCATTTAGTGGACATTCTAAATAGTTTTCTTCTTTAAAAGTCATTCTAAATAGTATTCTTATTTAAAAGTTACACTGTTTATATCGTGGAAATTAGTGAAACGTGAAAAAGAACAGTGAAAAAAAATCTTGCCTATAATCCTAGCCTCCAGATATAACCACTATTATATTTTCTGGTACAAATTAGACTAACAAATTTTATCATCTCGTTTTGATAGTTTTAAAAGCTGTGTATTTTTCCATTGTATGAATACATAAAATATTATCTTCAGCTTATTGAATAATTGATTCAAATTTTTCAATAAACATTATAATGTGATGAGGGAATATATTGTACATATATTTCCATGTGTATCTTAGATATGTATAGTTACCATACAAGAATATATCAGAAAGTTGTCTTTTTTGAACTATCAGACGCAATTTATTCAAGTGTATGTACTTGAATAGCTTCTAAAACTTACCTTCCTCTTTTTACCTTTTCCATCAGGCAGGGGAAAATTGTCTTCTAGAAACTCACCCAAGGCAAACAAAAGCTTCTCCTTATATTGTTTTATTTTAAGCAACTTAGCTTTCAGTTCATTAAAGATTCTAGTAAATTAAAAAAAAAGAAAAGCATAGAAGCATTTACCTGATAAAATACATATGCACATGTAAATGACTACTTATAAAGTTGATCAAAAACTTTGTTCAAAAGTTATTGTTTAAATCAAATAATGAAATAATGAGAAACTCTAATATATTTCCCTGTAGGGAAACCTAAATAATCAAATAATGAAAAACACTAATACATTTCCCTGCAGGGAAAACTAAAAGTTCCATCAAGTCAGTGAAAACAAGGCTGTTAGTAGCAATTGGTAAAAGTTAGGATAAGACTCATGATTCCTGGTAAAATTTATCTTCTTTCCAATGATCTATTTCTTATAGTGTAAAAAATGAAAATAATTTCTCGTAATTAATACCTTGATTCAGAAAACGGTACAACCTGGTTCTTCAGCTCACTGCAGAGTGTGTTGAGAGATCCCATTACTTGTTCTTGTTCATCCAACCATTGTTGCTCCCTTTAAACATTAAAGAAAAACAAACAACAGCTAAATAAACATTAACTGTTAATTCAGTATATACCTGTGATTAATGGAAGTGGAAGCAACAATAAAGGTGCCCTGGTGGCAAATATGAGGTAAGCACTGATAAGAAACCTGTTAATTGCCAATGTCAGTGGTTCAAACCCACCAGGTGCTCTCAGAGAAAGTTGAGGATATCTGCTCTCATAGAGATTTACAGCCTCAGAAACCCTGCACGGCAGTGGTTCTCAACCTTCCTAATGCCACGACCCTTAAATACAGTTTGTTTGGTGACCCCCAACCATAAAATTATTTTCATTGCTACTTCATAACTGTAATTTTGCTACTGTTATGAATCAGGCGAGCCCTGTGAAAGGGTAGTTCGATCCGCAAAGGGGTTGTGACCCACAGGTTGAGAACCACTGCTGTAGAGGGTCACTATGAGTTGGAACCCCCTCGATGGCAAATGATTTGCCTTTTCTTGTTGGTTTGGTATCATAATGACCAAATTACTGAGCCTTTAACCAAAAGTCTATAGGTTTGACTACACCAGTTACTCTGTAGGAGAAACGAAAGACAGCCTACTCCGGTAAAGATCACAGTCTCTAGGCAAACCCTAGGAACAGTTCGACTCTATTCTCCAGGGTCACGATGGATGAAAATCAACTCGACAGCAATGGATTTTTCTAACAAAAATATACCTTTCCAAGTCTTCCTTTAACTTTGCGTTCTTTGACTCAATGGTCGACAATACCATTTCCAGATCATGTCCCAATTTTTTGAACTGGAATAAAACAAATTAATGAGTTAGTCTGTAATGCTCTGTACATGTTGGTCAGGGATCAATAATTCAAAAGTAAATAGCAAAAAATTGCAGCAGAAATCTTTGAAAATATAACAGGTTCTAAAAAATTTAAACAAGTCATGATTAATAGAGTATAATCAGTTATTGAATAACAGACATGGCCTAAAGAATCTTGAACAAAAACTTTAAACAAGAAAGAAAGAAAATACTAAATAGAAATCTAGATCTCCGAAATAAAGTAAAACAAAGAACACTTTGTTCAAGTGGTAACAATGTGGACAAATATAAAAAAATTTTTTTCTTATTTTTAACCTCTTTATAAGATAACTAGAAAATAGATTAATATTTAAAACTAAAAAGAAAACCTAAGAAAGTGGAAAATTAGAACAGAGACCAGATAGAGTGACTACAAAAGAAAAAATCAGGAGTGTAGATTTACACACCATCATATTGATATTACATTAAGTATAAAAGGCTCAGGAACAGAATTAAATTATAAAACAATACAGAAGAGGATCTGGAAAAATTATAAATATTTGGATGCTGAAAAACACAGTTCTAAATAATCCATGAGTCAAAGTAGCAATCAAGGAGTACTTTAAACTGAATTAAAAAAAAATCTTGGATGACACAGAATTTATAGCACTCAGAGCCTATATCAGAAAAACAAAGCTCTCAAATTAATGACCTCAGCTTCCAACATTCAAAAAAAAAAAAGTAAATCAAATATCCTGAAGAAAACAATAAATGCTGGATATGTTGTGAGGATACTGAAGTCCTCATACATTGCTGGTAAGATTACAAAATGATACAACCCATGTGGAAAACAGTATGGCAATTTCTTAAAAAGTTGGAAATAAAAATGAAAATCCTACTACTTGGTATATAACCTAGAGATATGAGAACTGTGACCTGTACAGATACATGTATGTATGTATGTATTTATACAACACTATGTATAAATAACAAAAGTATGGAAATAACATAAATGCACATCAGTGGATAGACAAATTATGGCACATACATACAATTAAATACAACAAAATGTTAAAGGATAACAGTGAATCTTCCAAACATTCATAACATGGATGAACCTGGAAAGTATTATGGTGTCTGAAATTAGTCAATCTCAAAAGGACAAACTATAAATGAGAAGGCTACTATAAAAGTTAAAAAAAAAAAAAAGGCTTTCACCAAACAAAGAAACATTCTTTGATGGTTATCAGGAGCAAGAGGAAAAGGAATCACTAACTAGGAGGTAGACACATATTAACTTGGGCAAAGGGGAAGGCAACAGAGTAAACGGAGTATGCAAAAAATGATCAAGGCAAAGTAAGGCACTGGGAATACAATCTTGCAACAACAGTAACAATGATCTACAAGTACATACACAGATGTTAGAAGAACAGGACTATACTCAGAAACATATGTATAGGTCTGACAAAAGATACTTATACTCATGATTTATAAATGCTGTAAATATATTCATGAATATAGTAGAGTGTACAGGGGGAAGATTATGAAATTTTTTTAGACATAATCATATACCTTTAAACAATGAGTTTCAGGGCCTGAGGGTTCCATAGGGATATACCAAGGTCAACTGGCATAACATAGTCCGCAGTAACAATGTCCTACACATCCTACAACAGATTGATCTATCAGATGAACAATCACAGTAGGGAGGTGGCACTCCTTGGAACAATCAACTATTTGAGAGTAAAATGGCATCATTTGCCCAAAAAGAAAGATCAGATAGCAGAAAGGGCTCGGAAAGGAGGAATGGAAAACAAAAAACACAGGGAAGAAGTGGGATGAGTAATATTACACTGTGGAGATTGCCATCAATGACATGAAACAGAATACATATAAACCGCTGAAGGGAAAATTGATGTGCTCTGTAAACCTTCACCAATAAAAACCCTATAAAACAGTGGTTTGTTTTTTTTTTAAAGCTAAATAAAAAACAGTAATAGTGAATATAAATCAATGAAATAGAAAACAAAATGAAAATAGAGAAAAAGCAACGAAAACAAACGGATTCTTTGAGGTCAATAAAATAAGCCAGACTCCTTACAAATATCAGGAATGAAAGAGGTGACACCATCATAGAAATTTGAAATGGTAACAGTTGTTTATGAATGCATTTTGAAAAATTACATGGACAAATTATTTGAAAGAAACAAACCACAACTGCTCAATTAAGGAAACAGACATAAAAACAAATTTAACTTATGTTTAATTTTTTTTCCACTAAAACAATTTCCCAGGCAAAAAAATTTCCCAGAAAAATTTCAGGATTAAATAATAATAATTGCACACAGAGTCCTTTGCACAGGAAAAAAGCCATCAAGGCACATACTGAGAGGCTGTTCTGACCCTGATATCAAGGTCTGGCAAAGGCATTATGAAGAAAAGAAAAACCCCAAGAGCTCCCAGGAGCAGACATACCAGAGCCTCTTATGTTAGCAATTCAATCCAGAAACATATCTACTCATATTTCTGAAGGTTACTACATTATAGTAAAATGAGATTTAGCCCAAGAATGCAGTTTATTAAATGACTAAAATTAATTTAGAAATCAGTCTAAATTTATTCATATATTGAAAAGCTAAAAAAGAAACAAAAATGATTCAGAAAGAAAAAGTGACAAAATTTAATATCAATTCATAATTAAAACACTTTATAAATTGAAATAGAAGGAAATTTCCTGAGCCTGGATAAGTGCATGCACAACCGGCTACCCCCATAAAACGTAATTTTTTTTCAAAGCTATGTATTAAAAATTTTTTTTTTTACAAAACAACCTTATCACCTCCAAAGTGCTCTACATTACTCTTAATACATTTTTCAAATCTGCAATTCCATCCTTGAAAACATTTTTCAAACTCATCTGTTTGGATGGCTGACAGCACCTCACTTGTTTTTTTCTTCACCTCTTCTACGTTGTCAAATTGCTGCCTTTGATGTCTCTCTTCATTCACGGAAACAAAAAGAAGTCGCATGGAGCAAGGTCAGGTAAAGTGTGTGGGGCAAAAGAGGCATGCTGTTTTTTGCCATAATCAAGGTGCATGACAGCAGCAGTCAGGAAATCATTTATGTATTCTTGACTTTATAGATTTATATACAGTTTAAAAATGTCCTTATTGACATCTGTGTTAAGCTTTGAGATGATATATACCATATGTCTTTAGCCATGTGACTAGTTACTTGTATTTAACTTGCTGGGGGGTTTTATGAAGAAAGTATAAGAAACTGAAAATTTGTTATGACAGTAAAGTATATACATTAAACACTAACCTTAACACTGATAAAAAATAAGTTCAAAATTTAAATCTGCTAAAGTAAAATATTCTGTTCAATAAAGCATAGTTAGAACTATAAAAGTTAACATGGTTTTAAAAGATTTCGTTCTATTATGTATATCATTAATCTGCCCACAAATATTGTACCTATAAATTATTTGGTCTCACTATCAATTCATTAAAGGACTTACCTCTTCTTTTCCTAATGTAACTAGAACATCTTCATTCAGTGGAATAACTATAAAAACAAAACAAGCCAAATTTATACATATTCTTATTTAATATTTAAAAATAAAAATTCTGAGTGGAGGCAGGGAGGAAGGGGGAGATAGCATTGATGATTGTATGTCCGCATCTGATGGGATGTAGCAACAGAACTGTATGGGAAGGGAAGGAATATATTGGAATGAGTAAGATATATCAATAAATATATTATTTGAAAAAAAATTAACAAAAAAGGTAAAAGAAATGTTTCTCTAAAATAATAAAGTCAGAATTCTGTGGTTTCTAAGATACCCCTCTTCCTTTGAATTTATGTATTACACCATCTTTTGAGATGTGTTGATCTACAAAATTATTTTATTTAACATTTTAAGCATATAACCAATAATTATATATAATTTTACATTAATGATTATATTTATGCATCTTTGTGTCCTTTTTTTGTTTTCCCAACCTAACAAAAGCAAAGTTAAAAATCTATAGTATCCCTCAAACATTTTTCTTAAGTCACATGATTCAATGTATATGAGTTTCAAAAGGATCATATAAAAATTCCATTATCTTTAAACTTCATTTTCCACAAATTTTTTGAAGCGCCCTTTTATACCTATACACACACACACACTTCTACATATACATGTATTAGTATGTTATGGTTATTTTTGTTACTGCCAGTTTTACAATAGGATCACATAGCACACACTGATTCCCATCTTGTTTCTATTCAACAAAACTGTTAATAGATATCTTTTCTATTCATCGGAGTCATCTTTTTTATTTTAAGTGGCTACTACAGTTAACTGAAATTCCTCGGTATGGCTTCTCTATCCATAGTCTTTATAACTCCTGACAATGACTGGATGGGAGCATGCAATAAGGTGTAAAGCACTCTTGCTCAGTGGTCAGTTTTGCGATTCTGCTAGATACAAAAGTGAGCCATCTCAAAAGCAGGAACAGAGGATCTCATGACCAGTGGTAGTTACATAATCTGTTGTCAATTTGAGACTTAAGAGTGAACGGGCAGAGTTTAGCCTGTCAATTAGGTCGCAGCTTGATGACCTCATTTAGAGGTACTAAGGAGATAAGTAGCTCACTGGAGGCGGGACACAGGCTTGCTCCCTGTAAGACATTCCTGTGGAGATGACACATGGACCTACACTAGAGCCCTGGAGGGGAAGGAGCCACGTGGAGACCCCTGTCAGAGCTGAGATGACTCTACTGCCACTGGATCCACAAGTCTTTCCACCCACTGGCGTGTGATCTTCCTGCAGTCGGTGTCATTTGCATGTGTTTCATAAGTCTGAAGAGGAATTTATAGATTGGTTTCAGACATATGGGCTAATATCGGACTTATGGCCTTGATCCGGACTGGGCTGGGATGTTTTCTCAATATTCAATTGCTCTTCTATATAAAGCTCTTTGTTATACACATGAGTGTCTATAAATTTGTTTCTCTAGTCTATCCAAACTAACACAACCACCAAGAGAGAAGAGCCATTAGCAGATCACACGGGAAAGCCCTGCCTGATGTGGTGGAGGCAGCAGAGGCACCAAGGCTGCAGTACTGAGACCATATGACAGGCCCGTGGGATTTGTAAAACTTGTCCAAGCAGAGCAGAGGCCACGGGCCTGTATGGTTGAGATGTGCCTGTTAGCACATGTTCACATGGCTGAGAAGAGGCAATGCAACACACAAAAGGACCATATTCTTATAATGCTTTCTGATCGTAACAGCAGGATAACCTGTTAATGTCCCTATCAATCCCCCATAATCTGTGTGGCCATTGCAACGGACTATCAAACTCAGGGTAGCATGGGAGTGATGGTATCAGAAGGATGGAGGGTAGAGCCATGTCTGATGTCTGCCTCATGGGGATTATCCTTGAGCGGATGGGGAGTTGGTTTCTCCTTCCCCTTTCTGCAACTGGAAGAGGTCAGACATGGCCCATTTCATTTCATTAGCTACTTAATATTCCATAGTGTGGATATACCATAATGTATTGAACAATCTTTCTATGAAGTATTAACTTTGGTTTAGTTTTTAGCCACAACAAACAATAATCCTAGAATTAAGTTTACATTGGGAAATCGGCTGCATAAAACTTCTTTAAAGTATTGAAATGCAAGGATGTCACTTTGAGGGGTAAGGTGCACCCAGCCCAAACCATGGTATTTTGAACTGTCTCATATGTATGTAAAAGTTGGACACTGAATGAGAAAGACAAAAGAAGAATCGAAGTATTTGAATTATGGTTCCGACAAAGAATCTTAAAAATTATATGGATTGTCAAAAGAACAAACAAATCTGTTTTAGAAGAAGTATAGCCAGAGGGGGAGAGGTAAAAAAAAAGAAGGGGGAGTTAATACCAAGGGCTCAAGTAGATAGAAAATGATGATGGCAACAAATGTACAAATGTGCTTGACACAGTGGATGGATGGATGGATTGTGATAAGAGTTGTATGAGCCCCCAATAAAATGATTAAAAATAATAATAATGTATACATTCTGTATAACTCTTCTTGATGTGATTGAACTATTGAATTGTATGATATGTGAATTATGTCAATAAAAATGTTTTGTTTTGCTTTTAATTTTAATAGGAAAAAAAAAAAAAGAAAGAAATATAGCCAGATTGTTGTTTAGAGGCAAGGATGGCGATACCTGGTCTCATGTATTTTGGAACATGTAGGAGACACCAGTCCCGGAGAAGGACATCCTGCTTGGTCGAGGGGGAGCAAAGAAGAAGAGTGTCCCTCAACACGTAAGATTCAGTGACTAGAGAAACAATTTATAGTTTTACTAAGCATCAGGACGTCTCCTTGAGAATAATGATAACATCTCAATGATCAAGATTATTAGGGTCTAATGTTAGATACCTATGTTCATCTATAATAATAACATCTATATAAAGAATGAAAAGATAGGTGACCTCTCATTGCCAATGAATTTGAAGCAATTTCAAGGAAGCAAAATTAATTTTGTAATTCTTCTTCTGGTCATTAAATGTGTTGACCATTGATTTGTATATAAAAAGACAAAGCTAGAAATAAGTATCTTACTTTGAGGAGTTGCTTTCTGCCATTGACAGAGTTCTGCAGTCAAACATTTCATTTGCATAATTAATAACGATAGCTAAGAAATGAGAATAAGAGAATAAAACAAAGTTACTACTTGCAGAATAGTCAGTTATTCACAAATCAAAGTATAGACATTTTAAACACAAATTCCTAATATAAATAGCTAACACAGTAAGTTTAAAATAAGGAAAATGATCAACTCAAAGCAGAGTTCTATTTTGCTCCACACTATTGATATCTCCTAATTGTGAGGTAAAGCAGTGTATAATACAGAAATTAAAAATGATAAATTCTGCTTCACCAGTCACTTTATAAAAAAAGAACTCTACATTCAGTTTACTTCCTAAATATTTCTTTTAAAGAAGGTATTTACAGTCCATGTGTTTCAGAAAATTGGATTTAAAGATGGTCTTTTGCTTTTTGCATTGTTTTGATAAACTATAATTGACTTTAGCTGAGAAACTTTTTTAAAAGTTTAATATAAATACATGGAAGTAATTATAAAATTAGATTGGTTCTAGGAACACACATGAAAACCAGTTTTATGCAGGGCTCTACGACAATTTGAAATGGTTTAATCACCACCAACGGAAGCAAGGGTTTCCATTCTCTTTGTCCTTGAATTGTGACCCAATTAAGAGGCAAATAGCAGTGTCCCCTGAGAGACAGTGGCAGACTGTGTCACCACACATTCAAAGTGACACAGGTGGCTGCCATTTTGTAAGTAGGCCACTGCTGCCTGTTGTCTGTGGTTGTTGGGTGCCATCAAGTCAGTAACAACTCAGAGCTACACTATGCAAAACAGAACAAAACACTGCCTGGTCCTTCACCATCCTCACAACTGTATTCTTGAGCTCACTGCTGCAGCCACTGTGTGGGTCTATCTCCTCACTTTGGGTTTGCTAATTCTAGGTCTTTGCAATTTTCATTATAATATTTGGCATTGTGTTTTTGAGTTGACTTTTGAAATTTTCGATTCAACTCTGACTTTATCCGTTCTCCCATTTGATTTAGGTACTCTATGATTAAAAGTGAGTTTTCTTCTGACATCCACTTTGATCTCGTTTTTGTTCTTGCCTTTTTAACGACCTTTTGCTTCTTCATGAATGATGGTCTTGATGTCCTCCCACAGCTTCTCAGGTCTCTGTCACTACTGTTCAATGCAGCAACTCTGTTCTTGAGGTGGTCTCAAGATAGACTCAAGGTTTTACTGGGACTCTCATAGACTTGTTTTAATTTTCTTTAGCTTTACCCAGAACTTACATATGAGTAATTAATAATCTGTTCCATAGTTGGCCCCTGGCTTGGTTTTAGCTGCTATTATTGAGCTTCTCAGATGTCTCCTCCCACAGATGTAGACACTTTTATTTCTGTCTATTCCAACTGGAGAAGTCCATGTGTATAGTTGGCTCTAAACAAGTCATTGGTTTTACAAAAATTCTGTCATGTGATCCCAACTTCATTTGTATCACCAAGTCCTGTTATCTACTCAGGTCGAACTCTGAAGGACAAAAGATTTGGCTTCCATTCAACAAATACATCACCCATGTTTCTGTCAGCCATGTCCACAGTTTTGAATCAGTTCAAAGCCCTATTTTTACCTTACAAGTTTATAAATTGTGCATCCTTGTGCCCAAAAGTAAATTAGGCTAAGGATGTTTTGCACATTAGATGACTCCAGTAATTCTAATTCTGATCTAAATTTAATCTGTGATAAATTTGTTGATTGATTAGACCTAGGATGCTTGTATGTTTAAAATTATATTTCAGTACATTTTTTCGCTTTTGTAAGTCTTTTAGTGTTAGAAAACCTAAAGCAAAAAACACAACTAATATTTATCAAATTTGAAGAACTGAAGAGAAAATATATTGACGTATGTGATGGGAAATTTTTGAATGATACAGAAAGCAACAAAAAAAAAAAGTCATCAAAAATAATTGGTCAATGTTCAACCATTTCAGGAGTTAGTATAGGATCAAGAACTGTTGGTACTGCATGAAGAAGTCCAAGCCACTCTAAAGGTACTTGTGGAAAAACAAGGCCCAAAGAAGTGATAGAATACAACTGAGATACTTCAACAGGCAGCTACAACACTGAAGTACTTACTCATCTCTATCAAGCCATTTGGAAGACAGCTACCTAGACAACTGACTGGAAGATGTCAATATCTGTGCTCATTCCGAAACAAAGGCTATCAAATGGAATGAGAAAATTATCAAATGATGTAATTACTATCATATTTTAGGAAAATGTTGGTAATTTAAAAACAGCTGTAGCTATACACAGCTAGGAAACTACCACAAGTTCAAACTGAATTCAGAAGAGAAAAAGGATATCATTGTCGGTGTCAGAAGAATCTTGGCCCAAACCAAAGATCACAAGGACATTTACCTGTGTGTTATCTACCACACTAAGGCATTGAATTATGTGGATCATAACATAGTATAATTAGCATTGCAAAGAGTGGGAATTCCAAACACAGATCCTGTCCACAGATCAAGAGGGAGCCAGTCTAACTGAACAAGGGGATACTTCGTTGAAATTTGGAAAATATGGGTGGCAGGGTGGGATTCGTGCGCTTTACTTACTCAAGTAGTATGCTGGGCAAACAAGGCAAGCAGCTGGGATGTGTGAAGAATGCAGCCCTCAAAACTGGAGGAGGATTCATTAACATCTGTGAAATGTGAGGGCATAATCTTATGTGCTGACAATGAAGAGGACTTGAAGCATATACTGATGCAGATCTAGGGCTGCAGTCTTCCATAGGATTACACGTGGATATAAACAAAACGAAAATCCTCACAACTGGGCCTCATGGTCATCATCATGATATATGGTAAAGAAACTGAAGTGTTAGGTCAAACACATCTTAGTCCTCAAAAACATCTCTGCTTATTAATACTCTAAAGGTCTTGTGTAGCAGATTTGCCTAATTCAATGCTTCCTTTGATCTCTTGACTGCTGCTTCCATGAGCATTGATTGTGGATCCAAGCAAAATTAAATTCTTGACCCAGTTGTGAGGATTTTGGCCTTCTTTAGATTGAGTTGTAATTCATACTGCACGCTTCAAGTCTTGATCGTCGTCAGCAAGGACTTCAAGTCCTCTTCACTTTCAGTAGCAAAGTTTTGTCAGCTGCATATCTCAGGTTGTTAATAAGCCTTCCTTCAATCCTGATGTCATATTCATCCACTGAATTCACTTCTCTGATTACTTGCTCATCATACAGGTTGAATGAGTAGGATCAGATAGAAGAACCATGACCCACACCTTTCCTGATTTTAAAACATGCAGCATTCTCTTGTTCGGTTCCCAAGCTGGCTGTCTACCTGAGGTAGTTAGTTTATTGTGCCAACCTGGCCGATAGACATGTGGGATTAATTGAGGGGCAGAGAGATAAATGGCTCGGCGAGCTTCGTCTTTCTTGTCTCTCGCTCTTTGATCATCGGACCAGTGTACGGCTGCCTTGCCTGTTCTGTGCCTCAATTTGCAAGCTACACTACCTGTGGGAGACCTAACCCATGGACTGTGTTGCTGTAATTTGAGGTTCCTTCAAGACCTGCTTCGCCACACCATTGAAATTTACATCTCTTGAGCTGAGGACTGTCGGACCCTGTCATCTAGCTGACTGTTGGTGACCTACCTGTCTTGCTGTTTGCTGCCTGTGCTCGGATAGCCTGAATTGCTCTACAGAGGACTACCCGGCGGCCCTCAAGACTTGAAAGACTGCCAGTGTCTCACAAATGTCTCATGGGAGGGAGTTGCACTGAGCCATTTGTACTGCTTTATAATTTAATTAACTGTTTATTTCTTATGTTGTACATCTATTGATCTGAATAAATATATATATAATTATTAGCATTCTGATTTTGTTTCTCTAGAAAACCCTGTCTAACACATTACCCATGCACAGGTTCTGCATGAGTACAATGAAGTGTTCTGGGATTCCAATTCTTCTCAAGGTTATCCATAGTTTGTTATGTCCACACAGTCGAGTGTCTTTCCATAGTCAACCATGCACAAGTATACATCTTTCTGGTATTCTCTGCTTTGAGCCATGATCCATCTTACATCATCAGTGATAATGCTTGTTCCATGAACACTTTTGAATCTACCTGAACTTGTGGCAACTCTGTCAATAGACTGCTATCAATCCCCGTTGTTGATCTTCAGCAAAATGTTACTTGCCTGTGATATCAATGATATTCTATAATTTAAGCATTCTGTTGGGTCACCTTTCTTTGGAATGGGTACAAATATGGATCTCTTCCAGTCAGATGGCCAAATAGCTGCCTTCCAAATTTCCTGGCATAGATCAATGAGTGCTTCCAGTGTTGAAACATTTCGATTGGTATTCCATCAGTTCCTGAAGCCTTGTGTTGTTGATTTGTTCATAGCAAATACCATTTCTCAACAACACAGAAGGCAACTTGAAAAGACATTCAACCATTTCAAGAGGTAAGAAGAGGAACCAATTGTATTGAAGGAAGAAGTTCAAGCTACCCTGAAAGCATCAGCCCCAAACTTTACTTGCCCACCCACATCACTATGGTCACTTAGAAGTTGAGAAGACGCCTCGTCCTCAGTCACATTTTGAGTACTTTGTGCCCCGAGGGGCTCATGTTCTGGATCTATTTCTGACAGTATTCTGCTTCTTTTTATGAGATTTTCAGTATGTGACAATGTTTCGATTCTTTCCATAAAGTTTTATGTTGCTAATTCCTCAGAAGTGGACAGCCTATTCTTTCTCCACAGTCTGTTCTACAATCTGAAAGCTCTGCTGAAATCTGTTCACTTTGGGTGACTCTGCTGACATTTGAAAGACTGGTGACATGGCCTCCAGCACCACACAAGCCATCGCAGTATAACAAGCTGCCTGATAAGTGGTACATTAGATGTATTGCAAATTAAATGGCTTTCTTACTTTCTTTGCATTGCTGGTGACTTGTATGTTTATCTGATGGCTTGTAAGTTGGCTGAATTTCTTTATTAGTTTTAATAGTAATCTTATGGATTGGACTTTTATTATTTCCAGTGTTATCACCAATGAAAGCCATTATTCTTTTTTATGTCCAGATGACACCAAATTTGAATGAAACAACATCTTTAAATTGATTATTCTATCTTTTAACATAACCCCATTAGTTTGGGGAACTTTCATAGATATTATTTACATATTAACTTTGTTCTTCGAATTTTTAGCATGAAAAGGTTTAAAATTTTTATACTTTCAAATACATCTAACTTTACTTTCAAAGTGTCTGGATTTCACTATTAACCAAAAGGTTTTCCCTTTCCTTACATTGTACATAGCCTCCTACTTTTTACCAAATTTACCCACTAGGAATTTATATTATATATGTATATTATATATCATGAAAAACTGGTCAAACTGTATTTCCTTCCAGATGGATATCTAGTTGTACCATTATAATTTATTAAGTAATTCATCCTTTCTCTATAGATTTGACCTATTATATTGGTCATATTTTGGATTATAATCTGTTTCTTTGATATCTGTATTCCTGAACCAATTCCAAAGTGCTCTGATTATTACACTAGATTTTTTTAAAGTCTAAAGTAAATCAGTGAAGATTCATACAGATAGTAATCTGTAGCTACTATACTATACTATACTATAACAAGTAGGTTAGTCTTTGTTCAAATTTTTAAAAATAATACAATAATTAATATGTGTTGAATATGTTCCAGATGCCAGGCACTGTGTGTTAGAAATTGACATGTAACTCATTTGAGCCTCAAAACCAGCTTATGAGCTAAATTCTATTATTTCTATGTGTTCTAACTTTTAAAAGGTATCACATCAGCAGCCTACTAGCAGTTATTAGCCTATTCATTCTATTATTTATATGAATAGGTGTTAAACCAAAAACTTTAAAATTCTCTGTATACTATTTCAAAAAGTCTTCAGAATACCATTTCCCACTCTTAAATCAGAAGTAGTAGTGCATTTTTTAATGCTAAAGCATATAGATATTTTTAAAAGCAATTAATTATACTTGGAAAAATATAAACAGATATACTTCTTTTCCAACACACATGATTTTATCTCAATTATTTTTAGGAAAGGAAAAAAAATAAAAGATTCGTACCTGAGCATTTGAATCAGTGAGTGTCTCATTTCCAACAAGCGATAATTTATTCTGACACTTGATTTAAAAGTAAAAAACAAAAAGTCACACACTATACAACACAGACAATCCTTACACCAATCAACCCACAGCTGTTGACTTAGTGCCACTCAACTGCCCATTGGGCTTTCCAGGCTGTAACTCCGTATGGAAGCAGACTGCCACCTCTTTCATGCAGCAGCTCGTGGTTTTGAAGCATCAACTTTCCGTTAGAGGCCTAGCACTAACCACTGCATCACCAGCGTTCACTGACGCTGAACTTCCTTATGCTGTAAGTGAAAGGATTAGGAAAGTAGACAAATGGGTAGGCATATTCTTCAAATTCAGTCTTTTCTAAATCAGTTTTTGCTTTCACCCAAAGACCTAACTATGTGAACTTCCTGCTATATTCTCTATTTTAGGGAATCATTTTACCGATTGCCCAATACCTCCTCTGGAGGACTTGAAACTACCCATGTTAATGCACTCCCATTGTATCCAACCACCCTAAGTTCGCCTGGTCATACCTCCTTACGATCGCTTGAACCTATTATTTGCTCTACTTAAACTGACAGTATTTAAACCTTGATTATCTCTTACTAGGACTACTACTAAAACCAACCCTACTGACTTACAGTGAACCTACAGGAAAGGATAGAACTGCCCCATAACATTTACACAGTTTTTACCCCTCTTTACAAAAGCAGATTGCCACATTTTTTATGATCCTTCAGTTAGCAGCCAAGCACTTGATCACAGGACCACCAATGCTTCTCAGGACTACTACTAAAAGTTAAAAGAATATTTACTACCACTCGAAAACCTTGCCATCTGGTCAATTTTGACACACAGAAAGGGTTCTTATAGGACACAGCAGAACTTCCCCTGAAAGTTTTTGAGACTGTTAACTCTTCACAGGGGTATAAAGCCTGTTTTCTCCCACAGATTAGCTGATGGTTTTAAACTACTGGCCTAAAAAGGACATCCCTTAACAGAAGAGTTACAGGGAGGAAATGAGCCAGTCACAGTGCAGTGTAGCAATGATGAAACATACAACATTCCTCTAATTCTTTAATGCTTCCTCCCCACCACTATCATGATCCCAATTCTACCTTACAAATCCAGCTAGACCAGAGGATGTACACTGGTACAGATAGGAAATGGAAACAGGGAATCCAGGATAAATGAACCCCTCAGGACCAGTGGTGAGAGTGGTGATACTGGGAGGGTAGAGGGAGGATGGGGGTAGAAAGGGGGAAACTGATCACAAGGACCTCCACATAACCACCTCCCTTGGGGACGGACAACAGAAAAGTGGGTGGAAGGAGATGTCGGACAGTATAAGACATGACAAAATAATAATTTATAAATTATCAAGGGTTCATGGGGGAGGTGGGGAGAGGAGGGGAGGGAAAAATGAGGAGCTGATACCAAGGGCTTAAGCAGAAACCAAATGTTTTGCGAATGATGATGGCAACAAATGTACAAATGTGCTTGACACAATGGATGTATGTACGGCTTGTGATAACAGTTGTACGAGCCCCCAATAAAATGATTAAAAATAAATAAAAATAATAATAAATGCCAGTTTGCTATTTTCAAAAAAAATTTTTTTTACATAAAATAAAATACTGGTCTTGAAATTAGCAGTACAAAGCATAATCTACTGTGCCACCAGGGCTCCTGGAGCTTCCGAAATGTTCTTTCTACTTTTAGTCCACTCTTTGCATTCCAAAATTATCTATCTGCTCACATCATGTCCATACTTATAATCCTTTAAAGGCTGACCATAATATAAACTCAGCAAAGCCAAGTATGCCCTTGCCTTTGTGTACTTCTCCAGTCTCACCCCACACAACTGTCCTTCTTCCAATTTACATTAGCTGTACTATTCTCCTTACAAGTTATCTAATCGCTCTCCATTTTTATAGATCTTGTTCTCTCTACTTGGCATATCTCCCTCACTTCCACCAGCTAATGTCTATCCATCTTTTAGAAAGAAATTTCGTCACAGCCTCTTTGAGAAAGCTGCCTGTACCTTATCAGTCCAGGTCTGACAGCCCTCCTTACCAAAGTATTTTCCTTTCTACCAGAACACTTCAAGTATTGCCTTATATTCGCACAAGGACTGTAGTTGTTAGGTGCCATCGAGTCAGCTAGGGACCATTGTGGCCCTCCGTGCAACAGAACAAAACACTGAGCGATCTGGCACCATCCTCACAATCGTTCTGACGCCTGAGCCCATTGTTACAGCCAGTTGCAATCCTCCTCGTTGAGGGCCTTCCTTTTTTGTCACCCCTCCACTTGAACAAACATGATGTTCTTCTCCAGGGACCGTCTCTGCTGACAAGATCCAAAGTATGTAAAAAAGAAGTCTTGCCATCTTTGCCTCTAATGACTATTGCCACTAGTATAATGGGTATTGCCTCTTTAAACTGATCATTTCCTTGAAGACAGGAACTGTCATATATTTTTTTCCTTTTTCTTACCTAGCGGAGGCCTAAAAAGAAATATTTATCTAAGAGATTTTCTCAGCAGACAGCACAATTATTTATTTCCTATGTCTAAATTTTACTGAAATTGATATATCTCTTATCTTAATGAATTGGCATCATTTTAATCACTTGATACTTACTTCTTCCATATCTTTCCACATTTTGTCACACTCTTTAATAAGTTGACTGTTGGCACCTGTAACATCGTTCAAATTTGTAGTACTATCTGGATCTGGATCTTGTTGACTCATTGGCTTATGCTTTTTGATTTTCTTAGCCTTGAGACAAGAAAAACCAAAGGGAAAAATATGAATTTAACAATATTTATTAAATATCTATTGCCGTCTAGTGTTGACCCAGTGCACCGACGCAGTGACTGCATCCATGGGCTCAGGCATAGGAACAATTGCAGGTGGCGCAGGACTGTGCAGGCCGCTATGGGTCAGAGCTGACTCAAGGGCACCTAACGGCAATTACTGCCAGACATCCAGCTAGGAGTTAGGGTACACCAGTGAATAAAAGAGACGAAAAACAAATCAAACAAAAAGAAAAAATTATCTTTCTCTGCAGCTTAAGGAAAAAGACAATTGAACACACACAAAAATCAATCAAGTTCTAGTGGTTGTCAGGTAAGCACTGGACTGCTTAATTGCAAGGTCAGTGGTTCAAACCCACCAGGCACTCCATGAGAGAAAGATGAGACTATCTGCTCCCATAAAGATTTACAGCCTCAGAAACCCAGGGTTGCTGTGAGTCTGAATCAACATGATTGCATTGGGGTTCTTAATAGAAAAAACACTATAGACAAGGATCATAGGACATGTGAGAGTGGAGGCAATATCATATAAGAGTGGGGGCAATAGCAAAAGTTGATTGAGCAAAAACAAGAGAGAGATAAGAAAATGAGTCATGGAGATCTATGGCTGAGGCTCCAAGCAAAGGGAATTGATAATGCAAAGGTGGTTCAAACCTATCAGCCACTCAAATAGGGAAAGAGGAGGCTGGCTGCTTCTGTCAAGATTACAGCCTCAGAAACCCCAGTTCTACTCTGTCCTATAGGGTTACAATGCGCCAGAACTGACTTGATGGCAGTGGATTTGGTTTGGGGCTTTATTGTCTCTTTGACCTCATCTCCTACCTACCCACTGTCTGTCATACTTACATTGCTCTAGTCACACTGACCTCTTCCTTCCAGCTCGTGAGTCTGAACCACTGATCTTGCAGTTAGCAGCTCACCACATGTTCCACCAGGGCTCCCCAGAGACAACAGGGGTGAGATTATATGGATTTTGTAGGCTATTTTAAGGACTTGAGCTTTTATACTGAGTGAGATGATAAGCTATTAGAGGTTTGAGTAGAAGAAAATATGATTTGAATTATGTGTTAATAGTATAACCTGGTTAGTTACAGACACAGTAAAGCAGTCAAAGGAAAACCAGTTAGAAATATATTGTAATGGACAATGTCCCCCAAAGATTCACATCCACCAAGAATAAGGTGTGCCTAACCCAAGGCATCATCTTTTTCAATTGCCTTATATCCATATAAATAAGGAAAACCAAAGAAGAATGGATGAATTTGAATTACGGCATTGGTGAAGAATACTGAAAGTACCGCGGATTGCCAGAACAAACAAATCTGTCTTAGAAGAAGCACACTTAAGAGGGTTCCTTAGAAGAAAGGATGATGAGACTTCCTCTCATGTATTTTGTACATGCTATCGAGAGACTTATTCCCTGAAAAAGGACAGCAGGTTGGTAAAGTAGAAGGGCAGCGAAAAAATGGAAAGCTGTCAACAAGCTGGAGTGACATAGTAGCTACAACATGGGTTCAAAGATAGTCATTGTGGAGACAGTACGGGGCCGGGTTGTGTTTTATTGTTGTGCATGGATGGCTGTGAGTTGGAAGTGCTAAGACAAGGTCAGATTAGAATAAGCCCTAATGCAATGACTGGTGTCCTTATATGGAGAGAAAATAAAAACACCAGGGGAACATATGGAAAGATGGAGGTAGAGAATAGAGCGAGACAGATGCAAGGCATGGAATATCAAGGATTGCCAGCTACCCCTAGAACCTCGTAGACGCAGGAACAAAGTATTTCCTCAGAGATTCCAGAAGGAATGAGTCTTGTTGTCATCTTGATTTTGAACGTTTAGAATTGTGAAAGAGTAAATTCCTATTCTGCTAAGCCACTCAGCTTGTTGATGTGTTATGGCAAGTTAACAAGATACATTAAGCAAGATACGGGACACGGTGATATTAGTAGAGTGAATATATAATGGCCAATTACGGGTATATTTTCCAGATGAAGCCAACAGGATTTGTATATAGAGTATAACAGCCTGTACATAGAGTATCAAAGAAATCAAATGAAATTGGTTTGTGGTTGAGCAATTAGAATAGAGCTGCCAGTTACTGAAATAGGGAAGAAACATTATCAACAGCTGGGGGAAGTATTGATAAAGATTTTTACTTAATGCCGATTATGAATCATAGAGACCCTATAGGATAGGGTATAACTGAACCATAGTTTCCATGGCTGTAAATCTTTGCAGAAGCAGACGGCCACATCTTTTTCCCAAGAGCATTTACTACTGAGGCTACTAGAGGACCAAGGAGTTCTAACTGTTAGTAACATATTATTGATAGTAATACATTAATTAAGTAATTAATTGACATTACTATAGTCATCAAGAGGCTACCAGTTCAAACCCACCAGCTACTCCACTGGAGAAAGCTATAGCAGCCTACTTCCATACAGATTTACTCGTATAGCCTCAGGAACCCTGTGGGGCCATTCGTTTCTTTCCTCTTGGGCCACTGCCACTTGTAACGGAAGACTTTATGGCCATGGGTTTGGGTCTTTGTACGTGGAGCTCCTGATTCAGCACTATACATTCAGGGGACACTTTCAGGCTAGAGATAGAAATTTGAGTGCCACAGGGTGTGGTCAGAAAAATGAACAGTTCCAGAGGTAGAGAGGTTGGGGAGAAATAGGAAGAACCAGCTACATAATCTGAGAAGGAGCCTCAGGGAAGCAAGAGGAAAATAAAAAGCATGACGTTTTGAAATCCAAGATAGGAAAACGGTCAAGGAAGTAGAAAGGATTCACTGTGTCAAATACTAGAAATAATGTAAAGTAAGACAGAGAGAATTGATGATTACTTTAGCAATATGGATGGGCAGATTGTAGCTTCCAAAAATATTCACAGCAGTATTTCAAGTTGTCATTCCCCATAGAGTCCATTTCCACTTTACTTGAACCTGGGCATGATTCTGTGACTGTCTTTATGAATAGAACATAATGTAAGTAATGCCACATGACTTCCTAGATTAAGCCATAAGGGCAAGACAGCTTACATCTGGCTGTCACTCAACTCAGTCACCATGCTGTGAGGAATCCCAAACCAGCCCAAAATGAAGACACCACATGGAGAAGCCATATGGAAAAGGAAGTGAGGTTCCCAGACAAAACTTAGTGTCAACTGCCAGACATGTTCAAAAACAAGTTTCCTGATGTCTCTCCTAGTCAAGGGCCCAGACCCTGCAGCACAGAGCAGCTGTCCCTGCTGTGCCCTGTCTGAACTCCTGAAGAACAGAATCCGTAGGAAACTAACTGGTTGTTTTACACAACCAAGTTTTGGGGGTAATATGTCGCCATAATTTCATTGGGATAAACACAGAGTCCTTTGTTAACTTTTATATGAATCGTGTCAGTAGAAATGTGGGCATGAATGTTGGAATGGAGTGGTTCAAGAGGGAATAGAAGGAAATGAACTGGAGACATGCAATATGGAAAACATGCTCAGTAATTTTTTTCTATCAAAGAGAAAAGGTGGAAGCTGGGAAGAAGTGTGAGGTCAGAAGAGGACTTTTATTTAAGATGTGAGAGGAGACAGCATTTGTACATAACTCAGTAAGAAACATCACAGATGGAGGAGAAGAGACGGGAAGGAGGAAGAGTAGGATCTAGTGTACAAGTAAACAAATTCCTTTAAGATATGTGCAGAGTTCATCTCATTAAGTGGGACAGGCATCTACGTTAGTAGGAGAGTATTTGGGGTTGACTTGTGCTCCCCAAAAAGTTAAGCCTAAGTCCTAGCCCCCAGAACCTGTATATGTGACCTCATTTGGAAACATGCATTTACAGATATAATCAGTTAACAGAAGGTTTTGCTGGAGTAGGGTGGGCCCTAGTACAGGTACACTTGGGGCCTGTTATAAAAAGGAGCTACAGATGGCTTTCATTTATTGACTCCTGATTATTTCTTCATAGGAAGCTGAGGCAAGTCTGATGACATTAAATCAAACTTGTAAACATCCAGTTTGAAAAAAAATAGCTCAGATAAACAGAGTTTTAGCCACTCAGAAGACTGCTTTAAATGCACTATGAACTACACCCAACATCTGCTCACCCTACCTAATTAAAATCCTGTATTTATAAGGACCCAATAGGAAATGGCAAAAGACACAAATGAAGAATTAAAAACAAATTACAACTGCTTTTTAAAAATAGAAAGAAAACACACACATTCTCACCCTCACTCATTATTTATGAAAAGGAAAACTACCAAAAGATATTGTTTACTCAGGCAGGCAATAAAGAAAAACATGATAACCGAAATTGGAGCAAGAAGTATACACTGTTGGTGAATCAACCTCTTTGTAAGATAAAAAAAGCAGTATTTTTAGTGCATAAACCTTGTGATACAGAAATTCAACTCCTAGGAATTATGCTACAGATAGATATATTTGCAGAAACACTAGGATAAGTCAAAAAGTATAGCTACTAGCGTTTCGGTTCATACACCTGTTGGCTTACTGCAAACAAAAACGAGTTTCAACATGCCTCTGTGATCAGTAGATGGCCCCCAACAATTCTCTGAGAAATACACTTCTCTTCATTTCACTAAAAACACAAAACCAAATTCACTGTCTACTCATAGCAACCCTATAAGACAGGGGAGAACTGCCCCTGTGCGGTTCCGAAATTGTAACCCTTTGGGAGAGTCAAAACCCCATCTTTCTCTTGAGGATCGCCTGGTGTTTTCAAATTGCTGACCTTGCAGGCAGTCCAACATATAACAACTACAGTATCAGGGCGCCGTAGTTTCATTGGGATGCTTAAAAAATTCCAGCAACACAATGATTTCTGAGAGGATCTGCTGGGCTAGTTCAACTCAAGGAAGAGAGGTCATCTCAGAAAGTTATGGAAACTGAGTTTTAGGGTTCTAAAGAGGGTAATCTTGATAGATTTACAGCATTAAAAGCCACATGTGACAGTTCTGCTCTGCCCGAGATGGTCACTATGAGTCAGAATTGACTTGACGGCAGATCTTGTTTTGGTTTGGGTTAAGGAAACTTAAGGAAACTCGTATTTTTACTTGGGAAAGGAAGATTAATATACATGAATTATGTAATGGACAGTACCGGTTAAGGCTGTATCAATTTATTCAAAATATATACTGACTCATGGCTACATCAATGAGCTCAGGCATAAGAACAATTGTGAGGACTGCACAAGACCATGCACTGTTATGTTTTGTTGTGCACAGGGTCACTATGGGTAGAAACCAACTCGATGGCACCGAACAGCAACTAATGACTGTTTCTTTGTAGGAGACCCCAGAGGTCAAGCCAACCCAAGGTGACCAAGGTTGGGCTGCCATATCGAGTCTAGGGTCCGCCCCTCTTGTGACATGTATACCTCTAGTCCCTCCGCTTCCAATCACGTGTATACTCCTAGCTCAACACCTTCCTATGAGGTCTATGCCTATTATACTGCCTCTTCCTGTGACGTGTGGTTACCTGTAATCACGCCCCCCCCCCTATGTAGTTATAAGCCTTGGTTATCCATAAACCGGGGGACCCCTGCCGTCTCTGCCCCACCTCACCTCACCTCGGCCCACGCTGTGCACGGACCTGGCTGGTAAGATCATGGCCATCCAGGAGGTGAGCATGCTACCATGAAATGTGTCTAACTCCATTATTTCAATCTCTCTTATATCTTTCATCTGCTCTATAACCTTATTGTAACCTTTATATATCTCAACCGTACAATTGTGCTTACTGAACCCGTGATTACTTGTGTGGGGCTGGCCTTTCCCCCCACACCTGACATAATTCCAACTATATGACATTCTGGAAAAGGTAAAAGTATAGAGGCAGTAAAATGATGAATGGTGACCAAGGATTCAGAGGGAAGGGGAGAGGGTTGAAACCATTGAACTCAGGACAGGCACTGAAATTATTCCATACGATGCTGTACTAGCGAACACACAAGTTTACATTTGTCAAAATCTGTGGCCCACACAACAACAAAAATGGGTGTAATGTGAACTTTGGACTTTAGTTCATTATAGTGAACCAATTCAACCAGTGGCCCTGAGTCAATTCCAACTTATGGCCACCTTGTGTATGCCAAAACTCAAAACTTACTGTCAGAGTGGATGCCGACTCATAGGCATTCTATAAAACAGAGTAGAACTGCTCCCTATGAATTTCCCAGGCTGTAACTCCTTAGGAGAGTAAAGAGTGCCCCATCTTTCTCCCGTGTCATGGCTGATGGTTTAGAACTGGAGACTCGTGCGGATTGCAGTCCAAGACGTATAAGCCACCAGTACTCACCATGTATGCCAGAGTCAAATATTACTTCGTAGGGTTTTCAATGGCTGACGTTTGGAAGGAAATAGCCAGAACTTTCTTCAAAGGCACCTGAGTGGACTCAAACCTCCTATCTTTAGGATAAAAGTCTAGCATGTTAACCATTTGCACCACCCCGGGACTCTTTAGTTAAAAATAAAGTAGCAGTTTCATCAGTTACAACAAACTTATTGCTTGAATGCAAGATAGAAGGAGCAGTGTGTAGGCGTGGGAGAAAGATTGGTGGGAACATTGTACTTTCTGTGTAATTTTCCTTTAAAACTCTAAGAGTTCTACAAAAATAAAAGTCTATTTAGAGAGGGGGTCGAGGGAGACTGGAAGAGATCCCAGGAGCCTGAGGTGTCCGTCTCCGCCCCTGTCACTAAGAGAAGAATGCCTAGCTCCAGGGCGAAGAAAAACACCAGGGTGAAAGGCCCGGTCTGTGGACCAAACTCAAAATTCACTGCCATTGAGTCGATGCCGACTCATAGCGACCCTGTAAAACAGGGAACAACTGCCCCCGTGGGTTTCCTGCAATAGAAAGCCCTGTCTCTCGCGGCGCGGCTGGTGCTTTCGAACTGCTGACCTTGAGGTTAGCAGCCCCAATGCTGTAGGTTAAACCTTGAGGTGGCTGGGTTTCTCTCCGGAAATGGTGACAACTACGTGCCGCCTCCTTCAGAGCTCAGGGGAGAAGAATTATTTGGAGCACTAGATTGGGCGTTCCTTCAAAGCCCCACAGCTCGGTCTTCTTCCCTTAACCCGGGTTCTGGAATCGGAAATGACGCGGGAGCCCGAGAGGAGCGAGATCGAAGGCAGGCCTCGGCGTTAGGAATTCCCTTCCTGGACAGAAGCGTTCCTCTTCCGAGGATGAAGTCCCATATCCTGTGAACAGCCAGCTCCCACAGCTCGTTTCTATCGTTCCTGGACTCTTTCCCGTCCACCTCTTCCTTACCTGGACCGACAGCAGGACCGCTCAGCATCCGAGGCTTCCGAGCTGCCAAACCCAGGACGGCTGCGCGCGCTGCTTGCTAATTGGATCAGCCGCTGCTGCCTCCAGCCAATCCCGAGCCTCGCCGGGCCGCTTACGTAAAGGCTGCGCCGCTGCCTTGAGATTGGTTAGTGGACAGTGAGCGTCGCCCCTTCGCTGACGAGTCGGGCAGCATGGCGGCGGCAGGTGGTGGCGATTCGGAGCTGAAAAGGAGAAGGCACCGGGACCCGGAGGAAACGGAAGGAACAGAACTCAGCGGGAGAGAGCTGGCGGTGGCGGTGGCGGTGGCGCAAGAAAACGATGAGGAGAACGAAGGACGCTGGGTTGGGCCCTTACCTGTGGAGGCAACACTGGCCAAGAAAAGGAAAGGTAGCCGCAGAAATCGTGGCAGGGCAAGTTTCGAGTGGTAGGATGAGGGGGCGTCCGATGGGGTAGAGTGTTAGCCAGACCTGAATGGGAAGATGTCATTGAGGTGTTTTTTGCCCTAGGAATAGAGGATCGTCTTCTAAAAAGCCCTGCTGGCGCCGTGATTAAAGCACTGAGCCGCTAACGGGAAGCTTAGTGCTTCTTATCAACAAATTTGTGGAAGAAAGAGGTGGCAAGCCACTTCGATAAAGATTTACAGCCAGGAAAACCCTATGGGACAGTTCTGCTCTGTCGTACAGGGTCACACTGAGTCGCAATGAACTCCACGGCAGTTTGGGGGTTTTGATTTCTTCTGGCCACCTGAAATTTCTTCCGAAATGTCAAGGAAAATAGGACGTAGTCCCTGTCCTTAAGAAACAATCAGTTAAAAACAGTGCTGTGTACGAGTATTTTTATATTCCTAAAAATGTATACTGTATTCTGAAAATGTGAACAGTTTTAGGTACATTTTATATACACTGTGGTGTAGTGGTTACTGCTTGGGCTGCTATCCGCAAGGTCTACAGTTCGAAACCACCGGCCACTCCTCGGAAGAAAGACGGGACATTCTAATCTCCAGAACTCACGGGGCAGAACTACCCTGCTCTATAAGGTCGCTATGAGTCGGCATCGACTCAATAGCAGTGAGTTTGGCTTTCATTCTTTCCTTTTTTGGGAGTATAATTACGAGGGGGACTTGAAAAAGTTTGTGGAAATTTTTTTTTTACCTTACAATTATTTTTGCTCTGACCTTTCTAAAACCCCCTCATGATCTGGACATGGTACCGCACCGTTTTGATAACATCCAACACTGATCATGGATTTTTAAATAATAGATGCTAATGCTAACATTTGCCTATTCTTACCATGTGCCAAGCCCCCATGTTTGATCGTGATAGCTGCCTGTGAAGTTGGAATTTCCAACCCTGTTTCACAGGTTAGAAAGTAATGGACAGGAAACAGTAATCAGAAAGAATAATGGTGCCATCCAAATGGTGTCTGATTCAGGAGTGGTGGTTGTGTGTTAGGGGCAGTAGGAAGGTGGCACCTGTTTAAGACAAAGATGATATCAACCCATAGTTTTCCACTAATGGGTGATCTGACCTAGAGAAAGTTACTTAAGCTTCCTGGATCACAAGCTTGTTCATCTAAAATCCAGGACCCCTTAATTCTCAGACCATGTTTACCATATATCATGCTCCAAAACATTTTGCTCTAGTTCTGGGATACAGGATTGAGGAAAGGGTGTACCTTTTTTTTATGTAGAGGTCCTAACTGTCACAAAGTAAGCACCTAACATCTTTATATCTCATTGCATTGAACTTTAGGCACATGGTCACATTCAACTTGAGAAGAGAAGTTACCTTATAGTTGGAAGTTAATGTAAGCATGGCGGCTCTGTAATTTTGATGAAATAAAAGATGTGGGGGAAGAAATAGACTAAATTTTCTTGTGTTCTATGTATTTCTGTGAAACATTTGAGGACATTAATATGTCATCTTTACATACCTTTGCCACATTTTTCCTTTTTCCCCATCTCCCACATCTTTCTTGCTGCAGCCATACAAACCCATGTTCATTTTCATCCTCTTAACATCCGCCCAATTATTAGGGTATCTATAAATATTTCCCTCACCCCTTTCTCTGGGTTACTTTTGTTCAACCTTTAGTGTTCAGTTCAGATGAGCTTGGAAACCTGTCACTTCTCCAGTCTGGCCTGGGCATCAAAGGCACATTGATCATAACTGAAGTAATCCATATCACACTGAATTTATAAATAAGCCACACGTTTTTAGCTACATTTTGGGAAGTCTACCTACTTTGACACCTTTAGAGCATATTACCTTTTTATGCTTCAAACTCACTGCCATCAAGTTAATCCTAACGCATAGTGACTCTACAGGAGAGTAGAGCTGCCCCTATAGATTTCTGATGCTGTGAATCTTTATGGGAACAGAAAGCCACATTTTTTGTCCTGAGAGCAATGATTGGGTTTGAACTGTTGACCTTGTGTTTAGTAACACAAAGTGGAATCCCATATGCTATTTAGGTACTTATTTTAAATCATAAATATTTTTTTAATGTTATTTCCTTTGCGCTATCGGTTTGTAATTGCACATTTATCCATGTGATCTTGCTTATCTGATTACTTTTTCTGTCCATTTCTCAAGCTGTAAGCACCATTAAGGCAAGGAACAAACCTTTTTTCCCTAGTGCTTGGTACAGTGAAGTTGTTGTTTTATAGAAGTGAGTGGGGGAGATGAAAATTTTATAAATGTCAAGGTTTGGTGTTAGTGTTGAAAGGATTTCATAAACTTAATAAAATTTAGAAAAAAAATGAAAAGCATTAGGTGTGAAAATACCCTTATTCAGATGCTTGCTAGATCTAAGCCAGGCTATTCAGTTTAAAGAAAAACTTGAAATTATAAAGTATGTGTAAAATATTTGGTAAACATCATTGAAAATATGGGGCAAATGGCTTAAAAAAATTAATGGATGAGAATTACATCTTACTTTCCTTATTGTCATGTTTTCTGGAATCTAGTTGGTTCTCAAAATATGTTCAGTAAGTAGACCACAGGCAGCAAAGAGATTATGTACCAGGTAGGATAAAATTTAGCTGCACTTTACAGAAAACCCAAAATGATAATGACATTATAATACAGATGTATGCCTCTCCCACACATGAAAGAATTCCCAATGTAAGGGGTGCAGGATTGATACAGAAGAAGCTCTGAAGTTGGAGGTCCAGGACTGATAATGGAGACTTCTAGGATTTCCACAAATTTCTCTCACATCAGTAGAATATGGCCTTCATCTTCTTTGGCTATTAGAATTGTGGTAATCATACCCCAATTCTAGGATACAGGATGGAGGAGAAGGAGGCTGTACCATCTCTTTATGTTCTGGCTCTCATGGAGTAAGCTTTTTCATCTTTATCTCATTGGACTAAACTTAGGGATGTGGTCATTCTGAACTTTAGGAGAGAAGAGTTGGAAGTTAATATAAACATAGTGATTGTTACTAAAAATTAGGGAAAACATAGTGTGTAGGTGACAACTGTGAGTGTACTATAGTTATGAAAAACTTTGAAATAACTCTTGTTAATTTATAGGCATATTTGGCCCTGACAGGATTATTTTATTTGCTACCCAGATAATGGTGTTTCTTTTCCTAGAAAAATCACTTATAGTTCATAGAATGGAGTCAATATTTCCTGGTGGTAAGATGATTACCCCTGGGGAAAAAAATTAGGAAGCATTCAATTTGATAGTCTGTAGGATTTTCTCTGCTCTAAAAATCCAAGTATTTTATTTACAAATTTCAAATCTGGAATCAATTTTAAAGAGGTTTAGTGCCTTAAAGATAAGCTGAGATATACTATAGATGACGACTATCGCCATTAATTTTCAGATTAGTACTAGTAACTGAATTTACATGATTAGAAAGATTTCCATAAACTTTCAATTTTTATTTTATAAGGTCTTCATATTAAGCCAGATCCACTTAATTCTTAAGTCTTGGAGACAAGCATCTGTATAACGTCTGAGAACCTGTCTTGACATCAATAGAATAATGATGCTCTTCACTTGTACTTTACAGTAGCAAGTGAGACCGCACAGCAGACACTAGATGTTTTTCATCATTACATGTGAATTGAGAACAATTAAAATCTAGAAGAAAATACAAAACAGTTCAGAGATATTTAGATAAAACAAATGCAAAATAGCATTTAGTTCCATTTATAATTTTTTTTTTTTTTTTTGCTTTTTCCCCCTCAGTTCTGGAGTTTGAAAGGGTCTATCTTGACAATCTTCCCAGTGCATCCATGTATGAGCGCAGTTACATGCATAGAGATGTTATTACCCACGTGGTATGCACCAAGTAAGTCTGTCTGATCTTGTACATTTTCTATGAGATGTTTCCGCTCCTCCCTCCTAATATTTCTAATTCTTAGGTGGATTTTTAAAAATTAGGCTGTGAGGGAATTCTGTTTAATTCCACCATCTGTGACAATTTGAGCTGAAAAGAAACGACTTGCCATATTTTTACACAAGCAAAACACATTTTTCACATCATGCAACTCCCATACTTTATTTCATACCATTGTTTTTTTTGCATGTTGATGACTTTGATTTTTTTTTTCCCTTCCCATGGCAGAAGTTTGGTTCTGAGCAGTAGACTCTCACTACTCGAGTTTCTAAGACAGCCCCTCTTCTGCCAGGGTATTTTCCTCACTCTGCAAACTACTTTCTCCAGTGCAGAAAGATATCACTGTTTCTGCCTGGAAAACAGCCCTCACCAGGAAGGCTGGCCCAGCCTAGGAAGTGTGAGGTCTGTGGGTGCCACAGCATGGGCAGATGACAGCTATGGGCACAGGGAAGCTGTGCATCAGTCCCTTGATTGTGTTAGTTCAACTGGCCACCCTGGGCATCTTACCAGACTGAGGCATTGTGAATCACCCCCAAATAGTCCTGCTACCTAGCTTTACATGGGGCTGCCACCTAGGGACCCAAGCACTCCTAGTGGTTCCACTTCTAGTGGGAACCAGCTTATGGTTGGGCTGTGGCATCCCTGGGCATAGCCTTCCCCAGATCAGCTACAGCTA